TTTTCTTATTATTCTATAATGAAGATAACATCTTATTATCATACTAAAAAGACTATCTACTACACGAGGGTCATTAAGACTATCTACAATACGAGGGTCATTACTAGGAATAAGGTAAAATTTACACGCATGTTGGCTAAAAAATAGAAAATCATTCCCCTCCCTTTCTGTAGCTACATTCATCAGACACCTTTTGGCACTCTTCTTGAACTGGTTCATGCTATGACTGGCTTTGACATGTGCGGGTAGTCTGTTCCATTCCTTTATTGCTGTACAATGAAAGGTGTTTGAAGCCTGGCCACTGACTGTGGGTACTACAAAGTTGTGCTCTCTCCCCCTAGTACTATGATTACTTTGGTTCCCAACCTTGACAAAATTGACAGCAAGATATTCTGGACACTGTTTGTGAGCAATTTTATAAACATGATTTAGCTTCAGTTGTTTTACTCTGTCTTCAACTTTCAGCATATCCAACTGCTGTAATTCATCCTGGCCTACATGTTCTCTTGGTCCCAGACCCAGGATGAATCTTACGATTTTATTCTGGGTGATTTGCAGTCTATCTTTCAGTTTTTTGTCAAGGCAGAGTACCATGAAGAGCAAGCGTAATCCATATGGCATTGTATAAGGGCTAGACATAGGGTCCTGCGAGCCTCAGTAGGTAGACACTGTGCTTGTCTATACAGGAACTTCAGTCTGGCATTCGCTTTCTTTACTACACTGTTCCCTATCAATTCTCCTGACATGCATGGGTCAAAAGGGATTCCCAGATATTTTACAGATGAAACCAAAGTGATGGGCTCCCCATTACACTGGACATTAAAATTATTTACCCTTCTCAGTTTATGTTTCGTGCCAAAGAGAATGGCTTCAGTTTTCCCGAGGTGTAATGATAGTTTGTTGTCTACTAACCATTTGCTGCAGGACTCCAGTTCCAGTGTTAAAACATTAGCTATATCTTGTGGGTCTTTACCTGACACTAACAGGGCACTGTCATCTGCATACAGTAGGAGTTTGCACTTGACACTGATAGGCATGTCATTGACATAACATAAGAATAATAAGGGACCCATAATACTACCTTGGGGAACTCCGCATGTTATCGGCAGGGGTTCTGATTCCGTTTTGTTGATTTTGACTATTTGTCTCCTGTTGCTAAGGTAGGACTTAAACCAGTCTAAAGAACCTATACCGATAGCTTGAAGTTTCTTACATAATATATTGTGGTTGACAGTATCGAAGGCCTTTTGCAGGTCTAAGGTTACCATACCTGTGAGGTTCCCCTTTGACATTTCAGTTCTCAGGTAATCCATCAGATTAATTAGGGAAGTGTCGGTTGAGTAGGATCTTCTAAAGCCCGATTGATAGCTATGGAGAATGTTGTTGATATTAAGGTACTTAACTACTTGAGAGTACACCGCCCTCTCTAGAATTTTAGATATTATACTGAGTATACTAACAGGCCTATAGTTGCTGACATCAGACCTACTATTTTTCTTGAAGATAGGAGTAACTCTGGCCTCCTTGAAACCCCTCCGGTACGGTATTAGTGGTGGGTTGATAGATTTTATTATGTGAGCAATAGGGATTGACAGTTCAGAAGCACCATCTTTTAGGAAAATTAGACGGGATGTTATCAGGGCCTGTGCTCTTAGTTGGGTTTAACCTGCTTAGTTCTTTTTGAATAAAGTCATGAGATACACCTACTAGTTGACAACTGTTTGGGGTTACCCCTTTATTGGTATAGTATGTTTGAAACTTATCAGAGTCTGTGTTAAAGGTATTTGATGCAGCTGGTAGTTTACTTACTAGTGTTGATGCAACAGATGTGTAGTAGGAATTAAAGCAATTTGCCACCTTAGATGTTTCGTGGCATTCCTCATTATCGATAGTGAGTACTATGTTAGACCTTTCTACTGGCTTATGGCTATACCCCCACTGTTTTAGTTGTTGCCAGAGCTTTCTGGGGTTATGCTTATACTCTTCAATTTTTGAGGAATAGTGCTTTGCCTTTGCTCCTTTTATAAGTCTCTGTACTCTGTTCCTCACCCTTTGGAATTCATTTAGTGCTGCAATATCCTGTCTGTTTGCTTTAAATCTTTTTAGCAGCTGGTCTCTGAATTTCATATTATCTAATATCTTAGTAGTCATCCAGGGTTCAGTTCTTCGTTTAATCCTAACCTCTCTAACTGGTGCAATATTATCAAGGATGGTAGTGAACATTGTTTTGAATTTTTCCCAGGCATCGTTTACGTCCGTGCCCGTGTACTCGTCCTACCGTGAAGTGAGACACAGGTGTACCCGTGCTAGCGTGAAATTGTTATAAGCTAGAGGTCAATGCCTTCCAGGACTGCAGGGAGAAAACCCGTTTTAAAACTCTGCAATGTGCGCTAGAAACAACTCAGGGAAGAAAGCTATGTGTTGGCAAAGATTGTGACAATTGTGTTTGAAGAAGATCAACGAGAGAACAAAGGGATTAGGAAAAATAAAGTGAGACTTGCTGGACCCGGTTTTATTGCGCACCTCCGTAACCTGTTCCTGGGAGGGTATGACCTTCCCCGGACACACCTTAGACAGAGACTGAGGTACCTTGATTTCACACAGCTAACAAATCCATCATTTGTATTACATAACATTTCGCCCTAAATACGATTTGTAAAAGTCTTGTTTAGGGCGTAAGATTGTTTAATATAAAGTTTTCGCATTAGCTTGTCGGCTATTTGGCCTTCACATCAACATTTTTTTTGTTTTTTTTTTTATCTCGCTCTGTGATGATGAGTGTTTATTTGCAAATTTCAATTTTACAGTGTGTGGGACAGACTATCTTGAGTGATGGCTCTTCTCAAGAAACAATAATACTCATATTTTTCAGAACAAAACCTCTGAAGCTCCCACATCACTTAAACACATAGCGGAATGCATGATGGTATTCTCGTCTCTTTAGTGAAGACTCCTAACTCAGGCTGACACATATCAGTTGATGTACGAAATCCATCCTGTGTGATGGAACAGGACAGAGAAACATAGCTAACTTTTATTCCTACTGTATAACTTTCCTTTTAAACCATTCATCTCTGTGTAACTTTCATATAGAATATGAATTCAGTTTTATTCATTTATAAAATGACTGGGACAAGAATTAATAAGGATAAGGTCAGCATTTATATCAACAGAATGAACACCGGATTCACCCTAGTGGAATGTGCATAAAATTCTTGTTGAGCCCAATTATGTGCTATTATTGCATTCGTTAGGAAAGAACTACATAACACATTCATTGATGACTTTGATTTTATTACGGAGTGGCAGCAAGACACACTAGGTAGCGTGTGTTGCTATAGACGGTGTTATCTAGAAATACAGATGCGAATGAAGCATTAATAATAAAAAGATAATATACCGAGACTGGCTCAAAACACGAAAAACCTGCACGTAGAATGAAACTTATAACGACTCTGGACTTTGACCATTAATGGTCTAAGTCGGACCGAAACGTTGTCATAAGTTTTATTCTCCTATGTGCAGGTTATTTGTGTATTGATGCCATTGACTATTTCGGGCCCCGTTAGAGCAACCACTGGCTTACCAGTTGGAATCTGATCTGAGCGGGTCGAGAACCAGTGATGGAGAAGAAAGCTGATCATACTAGGAATATTTCGGGGTATGAGGCAGAGGCAAACACAGTTGAGTGAGATAACAACAAGATGAACAACTATGAAGGCTTAAGACTTACCACCGGGCTAAACACAGCAGGTCGACACGGATTACACGAGAAATAAAAAGACAGTAATTTCTCTTCACTTACTCACGGCCCTCCAAGATTATTGTGACTGCTAACGAGCGAGGCTTCACCGATGCTAAGTATATTTAAACACTCGATTAATGATGATAAAAGATCAACTTGGGTTCACCACCTCAACAAGGGGTACATGCAAGTACACGAAATAATAATCTGGGGAAAAAAGCTCGTTATTACTTTCGTTAAACTGAAAGAAAAGAAAAGGAAAAAATCGAAAACTAATGAGAATTTCTTCTAGTACATAATCTCGTGGGGAAAAAAAAAATATAATGGAAATGTAGGTATGACAGTATGTGTTCCGTTGTTATGTAAGCTTCCTTCACAGGACGGATGGGGGGGGGGGGGGCTAGCAGTGTCTTAATTCTGGTGAAGGGCTCTTGATCCAAAGAATCTGAGCTACCCAACCCTTTCTCGGGTCAAGCCTAATCCTCTCCTATTCCTCAGGCGCCGTATGATCCCCTACGTATTTAATGCTTATCCTTGATAAGAAGTAGTAGATGAAGAAAACGATAATAATAATAATTATTATTATTATTATTATATTAGTAGTAGTAGTAGTAGTATGAAATATATATGTGCTTATGAATAATTATCTTTTTTTTTTTAATTTTAATGCACAGTACTAACTGTCAGTGAGCCAAGGATCTATACACATCGTTAAGTTTGTCTCTCAGTTCATGTATGCTGAGACTTTGCTGTAAATCCTACATTAGTGAATAAAGTAATATTGACTAGTGTTCAGCAGGTTACATGCAGTCTAAATGACCCTTGTGTAATCAATTGGTCTGAAACCCCATTAACCAACCAAACACTGGAGCTTATTGGTGTGGACTGGAGTAAAAAAGAGAGAGAGAAGGTTCTCTTTGGACGGCTAATTTCCCAGCACAGATCCTGACTTACAAATAGTTCATAATTTGTCCAAGTCTTGCCTGGCATAGCATTTCCAAGAAACATGGGTACTCGTTAGTGCATGAGACAGGACGTGTGAGACTGTGGTGTACTGGCAGTTTAAAAAAGAATCTTACAGGAGTGATAATAAGCCTATGGCGGGCTGGCAGTTGAAGAACGATATGTTAGCTGACGGCAGTTCAGGGAAGACACGTCATGTTACAGAACAGGATGTAGAAATAAATGTCAGGTTTAGACAGGAAATTATATTGTTGATAAAAGCTTCGTCCAACTGAAGTTGGGGGGGTTCCCCCTCTTGATGCTCAGGGCGAGGGAAGTCTGATAAAAACAAGAGGCTGGGCTGTACTACTGACCAGTCTTCAGTATTCTCGTTCAGTTTCACGGTGCACACTAGATATACGACTCTTCTCAGGTATGTATGTATTTTGGCGGTTTTCTCTAGGTGTATTAGAATCATTAAATAGGTGGGTTCTTTGTATGTTTCCCAGCTTTGAAAACAGTATAAAATTTAAAAAAACAATAAGTGGTTATTCATTTTCAGTGATCAGAATTACATTGTTCTTTGCGAGTGAACTGGTTCAGCGGCTTAATGTCTTGCGTATATTATGGGTTTCAGCAACGCGATGAATTAAAAAAAAAAAACTCATCATTTTCCTTCCATATAAACATACATTCGAATATAAACGTTATATGGAGTTAACAATATTATTGTCAAGGGACAGGTGTGGATGATGAAGGCGTGGGTGTTGATGAGCGTGGGTGTGATGATCATGATGATGGTGTCGCCCCCGGACCCATGCAATGCCCAGGGCACCGAGGCACTGATCACCTTCATCATCGACAAGCTGTCTGGGTAAGTTTTGGTCTTTAGGTAAAACACATTACGCTCATACAGGGGTCGGGAAACTGGGGCAAATTACCCCTAATGGGGTAAAAATGAAAATCTCGGGGGTAATGAAGGCTCAATAAATATATATATATATATATATATATATATATATATATATATATATATATATATATATATATATATATATATTATATATATATATATATATATATATATATATATATATATATATATATATATATATATATAAAACTGCACAAAAAAATTATTATTTAATGAATGAGGCAAATTACAAAAGTTATATTTTTCAAACATAATTTGTAATTTTATAATGAAGTTAAAAATCTAATTTGTAGGGACCATTTCTTATGGTGGCAATGATGTAAAATGGGTAAGGACTGCAGCAGCTGGCAAGACAGCGAGTGTCAGCAGTGACTCGGGAGCTGGCACAACAACCACACAGTCCCGTTCTTGACACACCATCACCTTCACCTAACTTTTGGCCTAGTGTCCTATCTCGCTATCAATAATTGTCTCTGCTTTGCAGTCAATGGAAGTTCATTGTTTATGTTATCAGGTTTAAAATTTTCGATGACCAAGGTAAGGTAGTGTTTTGGGATTTGTCATAACAATTAGGAGTGTACAATGTAATATTGTACACGAGGAAGCAATAAAAATACTGCTACCGTTTACAACTACCTAACTTTGCGAACAGGGATTTTCCACTCTCATTAACTTGAAAACAAAGTCCAGAAATCGGCTGATCGCCGAAGACAGTATCCAAATTGTTCTGACATCAATAAGCCCCAATTTTGATGATGTATCAAAAATGAAACAACATCATTGCTCCAAAACCTGAAGTGAAAATGTTTTGAATGAAATTCTTTAGTTCCTTAACGATTTTTTTAAATAAATTTGTCTGTTACTCTTTTATTTCATGCAGTTTATTTTTCATTTTATCATTTTGTTAATTTTGTGTTTTATTTTTAAAGTTGCTTTATTGCGTATAATACTGTTCAGTTTGTATGACTATTCTCTATACAAATGGATTCAATAAACTATTTTGAATTTGAATGCTCCTTGTGTTTTTTTTTTCCGAATTCTGTGGACTTTCAAGTCTAGTGGGTAATTTCCCTCGACACAAATTTGTTTTGGGATAATACCCAAAAAAGTTCGCCGACCCCTGCCATAATATTTGGAATGGCGTACTTTTGTGATGTTCCTTTCATCTTTTCTTTCGTTAATGTAGTATGAAATTGTTGTGTTTCAGTTTATGGGACCACGATGAGGTTTCTTTCATGGGACACATCTGTCGCTTCAGCCACAGTCCATCTTTCTACAGGTGGGAACTGTACTACAAGGGCAAAATGTGGTGCCCAGGATGGGCTCCATTCTCAGGCAACTGTGAGTATTTCATAGAGGATATTCAAAAGTGTATGTATAACTTTATATATTCTAGATATATAATGTACATTCTGCATTCAGACACAAAAGGCAAACACTAAGACATTTCACTGGAATTTTTTCAGTGCTAGGACCTTGCTTATTCCAAATGCATATGTGGGTAAAAAAAAACATGCGCATAATTATATAGTCTTCAATATATAATCTCGTCTTTCTACTTATATGTAAACTTGGAGTTACAAAGTCCCAGCACAGACAAGTTTACAATAAAATGTTTGCATTTTGAATATTTTCCAAAACCTGTTAATATCACGTACCATTTTTACCATTCTTTACATACACCAATTTCAAATGCGAAAATTTAGTAAAGAATGGCCAGTTGCACAAGCGATCTCACAGAAAATAAAACAGAAAGAAAAGAGAGTATTTAGTGGAGCATTGTTTTTATTTTGAGAACTCAGTATCTGGATTTTATTCAGTCTAACTTTAATGTACATTATATTGATGAGTTACAGCACACTGTAAACTACCTGGTTGATACTTGAAGGTACGGGATGATTTGTGTCGTATATTGTAAAGATGAGATAGCCCGTTCTTTCTTAAGTGAAACACAATTAAAATAATATTTATTTCATGAATATATATTTATGAAATTTTTATAATGAATTAAAAATTATAATATTGTTTAGGTTTGAAACAACACACGTCATAGAAAATACTTTAAGACGTGTTGATGACACTCTTTAAGACGTGTTGATGACACTCTTTAAGACGTGTTGATGACACTCTTTAAGACGTGTTGATGACACTCTTTGAGACGTGTTGATGACACTCTTTAAGACGTGTTGATGACACTCTTTGAGACGTGTTGATGACACTCTTTGAGACGTGTTGATGACACTCTTTGAGACGTGTTGATGACACTCTTTAAGACGTGTTGATGACACTCTTTAAGACGTGTTGATGACACTCTTTAAGACGTGTTGTTGATGACACTCTTTAAGACGTGTTGATGACACTCTTTAAGACGTGTTGATGACACTCTTTAAGACGTGTTGATGACACTCTTTAAGACGTGTTGATGACACTCTTTAAGACGTGTTGATAACACTCTTTAAGACGTGTTGTTGATGACACTCTTTAAGACGTGTTGATGACACTCTTTAAGACGTGTTGATGACACTCTTTAAGACGTGTTGATGACACTCTTTAAGACGTGTTGATGACACTCTTTAAGACGTGTTGATGACACTCTTTAAGACGTGTTGATGACGCTCTTTAAGACGTGTTGATGACACTCTTTAAGACGTGTTGATAACACTCTTTAAGACGTGTTGATGACACTCTTTAAGACGTGTTGATGACACTCCTTAAGACGTGTTGATGACACTCTTTAAGACGTGTTGATGACACTCTTTAAGACGTGTTGATGACACTCTTTAAGACGTGTTGATGACACTCTTTAAGACGTGTTGATGACACTCTTTAAGACGTGTTGATGACACTCCTTAAGACGTGTTGATGACACTCTTTAAGACGTGTTGATGACACTCTTTAAGACGTGTTGATGACACTCTTTAAGACGTGTTGATGACACTCTTTAAGACGTGTTGATGACACTCCTTAAGACGTGTTGATGACACTCTTTAAGACGTGTTGATGACACTCTTTAGGACGTGTTGATGACACTCTTTAAGACGTGTTGATGACACTCTTTAAGACGTGTTGATGACACTCTTTAAGACGTGTTGATTACACTCCTTAAGACGTGTTGATGACACTCTTTAAGACGTGTTGATGACACTCCTTAAGACGTGCTGATGACACTCTTTAAGACGTGTTGATGACACTCCTTAAGACGAGGATCTTCCAGCTATGAAACTGAATTTTTTTTCCGACGCAGGAGATTAATTATGTAAATGGTTGGGAACACTGACAAACTGATGACAAAAACACTTGTCCAAGACTTGGGTATCTTTAATGTGGAAATGTTTCACCAGCCAGTGGCTTCATCAGTCCAATACAGAGGAGAATAGTGGAAGAGGAGAAAAGTTTGAGGTAATCTGTCCCTCAGCCTGGAGATGATGTACAGCATATGGTCAGGTAGGTTTGTCAGGAAAGAGGACAAGTGTTTCTTGATGCGGGTCTTAGTCGGATGATGACCTGCCACTAGAGGTTTTGGTCATCTGACCGAGGCCTTCCGCTGGCTTACCGGTCCACCCCTTTAAAGATTATGGTTATAATTATAACCATTTTTGATATTACAGCATATGCATGGAGAAGTGACTTAAATATTGCATTCAGGTAAGTTGAAGCAGTTTAAGGCGTCGTTGCTTGTGAAAAAATCCACCAGAGGCAGCAGGTCATGGCTGAAGGTTAGACAAGAACTGAAGAATTCCCTTTATCAGGATTCCAAGACGTTGCTGTGTCTGACAGGTACTATGTAAATGATTTATAAAACTGACAAGCTGACGACGGTGATGACACATACAACACTCAAATGTCTGCACTATAAGTCCCTTCTCAGTGCATTTTCTGTACTTCTATGAAGGTCGTTGGACTCATCATCAGGCTGAGGGACTGATTACCTCAAAATCCTTCTCACCTTTCACTGTTGTTCTATGTACTGGACTGATGAAGCCACTGGCTGGAGAAACCTTCCCACGATAAACATTCCCAAGTGTTGCACCAGTGTATTAATCATCATAGGAGGTTCATGATACATAGTATAAATGATCACAAAAATTTCGAGTGGCTGTTATGATACATGTTAAAGGTCTGCCATACCTGAGAGCATCCATTCTCATTGCAAAATTTTTTATCCCTAACAGCCAAAACCAAGAGTCGGGCAGGAGCCATCGAGCACGCCACCCGAGACTTCGTCAAGAAAGCCCTTGAGAATAAACTTATTACTGAAGAGGAAGCCTCTGCCTGGGTCAGTAATTAGGTATTTTTCCACGTCCTGATGCATCCCCGTCTTCTAACTTAAGCACAGAGTGTTAGTTTACCAGCGCTGTATCTAAGAGAAGTCGATTTCTCGGGAAGGAGGATGAGGGCGGAAGACGTGACTTACACAATGTCTTGCATAATAAGATCTTAATATGTCATAGACGAAGCTGATATAACAATTTTTAATTGAGTGTTTCACCATTTTTACACATGTTTTGGTCTAGATGAAACGCTGTGTAGTTAACGTAATTTTACAATTATTTATATATATTATGTATATATATATATATATATATATTAATATATATATATATATATATATATATATATATATATATATAATATATATATAATAATATGTCGTGCCGAATAGGCAGAACTTGCGATCTTGGCTTAAATAGCAACGCTCATCTTGCCATATAGGACAAGTGAAAATTTGTGTATGCAATAATTTCGCCAGAATCATTCTGAACCTATCGAGAAAAATATATTTTACTGTGTTTGTTTAGTATTAAATTATTGTAAACAAATCTAAAATATATTTAGTTGGGTTAGGCTAATATAAATTGTTCTTGTTATAATAAGGTTAGGTAAGTTTTCTAAGATTCTTTTGGTGCAAAATTATAAATTTTTACATTAACGTTAATGAAAAAAAAATATATCTTTAAACGTATAAGTGAAAATTTTAGAAAGGACTTAATTTTAAATGAGTTCTTGCTAATTGACCAGTTTACATACTCGGCACGACATATATAATATAATATAATATATATATTATATATATATATATATATATATAATATAAAATATATATATATAATATATATATATATTATAAATATATATATTATATATAAGAGAGAAAGAAGAGATTATATCAAAATTTGATATTTTGGAATTATATAATAACAATTAGTTTATGACAGTTTCTTTGTGTTTTAATAATTTTATTAAGTTTAAAATACATCATTTCAAATTAACGTGTATTGAAAAAATTTAAAAACACAACTTTGAATGTTTGGTATTTTATTATAATATTCTTGTAAAATCATGACTTTGTTTTATACTAATAACCGAAAAAACTCAATTATAAAATCTAAAGATCAGTCTTGACATTGTGCATAAAATATGATAATAAGTTGTGTGTAAAATACTTGAGAATAATTAAATAATTTCTGACTTTTAAACATAACGAATTTAAGCCACGGTATGTGCTTTTTTTTGCTATTTATGTATGAATGTTTAACGATACAGTAATATTACATAAAATTACAATTAAGGAATTTATATACCATTACATTTCAAAATCCATAGATGTACGGTTTATAAAATTAGCGATACCTTAATACTACGTGCCGTATAATTCATGTTCAAGAGATAATTTTTTGCACTTTTCAGTCAATATAGCAACAACGTTGTCTTTTAAGTGTTCTAAATTTAGAAAGTTACAAACGTAAACAGAGTTTTAACTTAAACTACGTTAACTAAGTCCGACTGATATTTCCATGCAAGTCAAACAATTTTTATACACTACATAAGAAATCAATTCACGCAGTGTATACACAATCTTAAACAATACGACCACCTGAGCACATGTCTGCCAAAAATAGACCCAATGTAACCTAGCACTGTCTGCTAAAACAATACGACCACCAACATTTGATAACTAGAAATGTCTGCTCAACAGTAACGACCAACACAGGCTGCAAGATGAATCGTATCACCGACATTTACACATAGCAACAGTTAGGAAACTTTATACAGTATCGACCAACATGGCACTCAGTCCGAAAAGAAAGTCAAACAGTAGGTTTAATGTAATCGTCACAGACCCTGAAGTTGAATTTGAGGTTGTCAGTCATCAGGAACAACTTCTTTAGGCTAAAGTTACTGCAACAATTCTATTCACGTGAAACTGATTTACATCTATTACACAGTAGTACTGTTCTGCTACATTGTATTCACTACAGAAGCCTAGGTAGCGAAACGTTGAATAAAGTGCTAATCTGTTGCCATTCACCTAACCACACTGTAAGCCAGCACTGTCTGCTCAGACAGTACGACCACACACTGTAAGCTACACTGTCTGCTCAAAATACGACACCATACTCAAGCTAGCACTGTCTGCTCAACATACGACCACACACTGAAGTACATCTCTGTTTCAAACAGTAGACCCATACTTAACTGTATTCTGCTCAGACGTACGAACACACGTAAGTAGCGACTGTTCAGACAATAGTACAACATACTGTAAGCTAATGACTGCTCACCTACCACACTGTAAGCTAGCACTGTTCAGCTCAGACATACGACCACCCACATAAGCTATCACTGACTTGTTCAAACAATACGACCACCATACTGTAACCCTAGCCTGTCTGCTCAAACAATACGATCAAAACGTGATAAGTAGCACTGCTGTTCAAACGGTACACCATTACACTGTAAGCTAGCACTGTCTGCTCAAACAGTACGACCACCACACTGTAAGCTATCACTGTCTGCTCAAACAATACGACCACCATACTGTAAGCTACACTGTCTGCTCAAACAATACGACCACCACACTGTAAGCTAGCACTGTCTGCTCAGACAATACGACCACCACACTGTAAGCTAGCACTGTCTGCTCAGGCAATACGACCGCCATACTGTAAGCTATCACTGACTGTTCAAACAATATGACCACCACACTGTAAGCTAGCGCTGTCTGCTCAAACGATACGACCACCATAAAGTAAGCTAGCACTGTCTGTTCAAACGGTACGACCATTACACTGTAAGCTAGCACTGTCTGCTCAAACAGTACGACCACCACACTGTAAGCTAGCACTGTTTGCTCAAACGGTACAATCTCCACAATGTAAGCTGGCACTGTCTTCTCATGCAATACGACCACCACACTGTAAGCTAGCACTATCTTCTCAAACAGTACGACCACCACACTGTAAGCTAGCACTGTCTGCTCAAACAATACGACCACCATACTGTAAGCTACACTGTCTGCTCAAACATTACGACCATCACACTGTAAGCTAGCACTGTCTGCTCAACATTACGACCACCAATGTAAGCTAGCACTGTTGAAACGAGCTACGTTATAGTGGAATTGTGACACCAACTGTAAGCTAGCGTGTATGCTCAACGTTGACAACTAAATGTAAGCTGCACTGTCTTGTTCACGTACGGACTATGTACAGTAGTAAGCCTGTTGAAAAGTACGTTTAACCTAACTGTTAAGCTGTATGTCTGCTCAATATCATTGACAAGTTGCAGGAGCGTGTTTAAAACACCAACTTGTAGATACTGTTAACAATTGACCTACTTGAAGAGCTTGGCACTGTGTCGTGTGTGAAGTAGTAAAGCTTTTTAAGTTGTTACAGCTGTGTGAATGTGTGTAACCTTGTGCTAGCTGTAAGGCGTATGTGAGTGTGTAGAGCGTGTAGACATGAATGTAGCTAGTATGTGAGACGCGTGTGTAATTTGTGAGAGCGTGTGATACGTGTGTAGAGCGTGTGTGTTGTAGAGCGGGGTGAATGTGTAGGAGCTTGTAAGTGTGTAGAGCGTGTTGTAGTGTGTAGAGCGTAGTGTAGCTAGTGTAGAGCGTGTTATTTGAACCGTGTGTAGTGGTAGAGCGTGTGTATTGTAGAGCGTGTTATAGTGTGTAGAGCGTGTGTAAGTGTGGTAAAGTTGTGTAGTGTGCAGAGCGTGTGTAAGGTGTAGAGCGTGTGCATGTGTAGAGCGTGTGAAGTGTAGTAGAGCGTGTGTAGTGTGTAGAGCGTGTTAAGTGTGTAGAAGCGTTGTGTAGTGTGTGACCGTGTAGTGTGTAGAGCTGATGTAGTGGAGAGGGGCAGTGAGTGTTAGGTGTTAGAGCGTTTGACTTAGTGTGTAGACGTGTGTATGTGTAGAGCGTGTGTAGTGTGTAGAGCGTGTGTAGTGTGTACACGTGTGTAGTGTGTAGACGTGTGTAGTTTGTAGAGCCGTGGTAGTGTGAGAGCGTGTTAGTGTGTAGAGCGTGTGAAGTGTGTAGCGTGTGTAGTGTGTAGAGGTTTTGAGTGGTAGAGCGTGTTGTAGTGTGAGTAGCGTGTGTAGTGTGTAGAGTGTGTGTAGTGTGTAGAGCGTGTGTAGTGTGTAAGGTGTGTAGTGTGTAGAGCGTGTGTAGTGTGTAGAGTGTGTGTAGTGTGTAGAGCGTGTGTAGTGTGTAGAGCGTGTGAGTGTGTAGAGCGTGTGCATGTGTAGAGCGTGGTTGTGTTAGAGCGTGTGTAAGTGTGTTAGAGCGTGTGTAGTGTGTAGACCGTGTGTAGTGTGTAGAGCGTTGTAGTGTGTAGAGCGTGTTAGTGTGTAGAGCGTGTGCAGTGTGTAGAGCGTGTGTAGTGTGTAGAGCGTGTGCAAGTGTGTAGAGCGTGTGTAGTGTGTAGGCGTGTGTAGTGTGTAGAGTGTGTAGTGTGTAGAGCGTGTGTAGTGTGTAAGTGTGTGTAGTGTGTAGAGCGTGTGTAGTGTGTAGAGCGTGATTGTAGGTGTGAGTTGTAGAGCTGTAGTGTGTAGAGCGTGTGTAGTGTGTAGAGCGTGTGTAGTGTGTAGAGCGTGTGTAGTGTGTAGAGCGTGTGTAGTGTGTAGAGCGTGTGTAGTGTGTAGAGCGTGTGTAGTGTGTAGAGCGTGTGTAGTGTGTAGAGCGTGTGTAGTGTGTAGAGCGTGTGTAAGTGTGTGAAGTTGTTGTGTGTAAGCGTGTGTAGTGTGTAGAGCGTGTGTAGTGTGTAGAGCTTTGTGTAGTGTGTAGAGCGTGTGTAAGTGTGTAGAGCGTGTGTAGTGTGTAGAGCGTGTTGTATTGTAGAGCGTGTGTAGTGTGTAGACGGTAGTGTGTAGAGCGTGTGTAGTGTGTAGAGCGTGTGTAGTGTGTAGAGCGTGTGTAGTGTGTAGAGCGTGTGTAGTGTGTAGAGCGTGTGTAGTGTGTAGAGCGTGTGTAGTGTGTAGAGCGTGTGTAGTGTGTAGAGCGTGTGTAGTGTGTAGAGCGTGTGTAGTGTGTAAGAGTGTGTGTAGTTGTGTAGGTAGAGCGTGTGTAGTGTGTAGAGAGGTGTGTAGTGGTGTGTAGAGCGTGTGTAGTGTGCAGAGCGTGTGTAGTGTGTAGAGCGTGTGTAGTGTGTAGAGCGTGTGCAGTGTGTAGAGCGTGTGTAGTGTAGAGCGTGTGTAGTGTGTAGAGCGTGTGTAGTGTGTAGAGCGTGTGTATGTGTGTAGAGCGTGTGTAGTGGTAGAGCGTGTGTAG